CTTGGCAAATTCTTTCTTCACAGCTCAAATTAACATTGTAAACAAGATATTAGAGAGAATCATTTAAATACTTAAGGAAGGTCTTTTTTAGTACTTACAAACATGCAGTATGTGTTTCTTAACTTACAGATGAATAAGTTAAAAAAAGTCATTCCAAAATGGGAACCATGGTAGATAGAAGATGTGTGGTGGGATAAGGACTTCTGAAGACATATTTTTTATGTATCACTTTGATTTTTCAACCATGTAAATGTTTTACCTATTCAAAAATAAAACATGAATACATAAAGCTATTTGGGGAACAGATTTTTTGTAGCTTTATAGCCATAAGTAGGAGCCATATAATCAATAGAGCATTCCTTTGACTATATAAAAATCAAGAGATGTTTTCTTTAAACATCCTAGGTTTTGAGACAGTAGCCTCTACTTTATTAAAGTTGGTCTGTGTTCTTAACTGAGGAGACTTAACTAACTTGAAAAGATTGTCCAGCTAGAGGTATAAGGCATGATTTCAGTTGAAGTTAAAATATACACTGTGAAGTCACTGGTATTCTGCTTGTGTGATGACAAGCTCATTATCACTGACAAACTCTAGAGGAAATTTCAGGTGTTTGTTTTACCACTCTTCTCTTTAGATAGCCCAGAACAGAAAGGAAAAGTTGCTCTTTTCTCTGCTAAATCATGATTGTTCTGCAGCCTCAAATAAAAGGATTTATGGGTCCATTCCTAACCATCAGATTCTTTGCAGAGTAAGAGATTTCAATTTAATGAAGTGAGCTAATTGATTATCTTAAAAAGTTACCTGCTTGGTACATGTGGGTATTGTTTCTGAGGGAAAGAATTATTTTATAAGGCAGATAGTTGATCATTTAAAAGAGAATAGACAGTAGAATATGATATTGAGAGAAGACTCAAGATGTACATCTTCAGAAAATTTTACATGATCTTATTTTCATTTATTTTAAAGTAAAAGACATTACATGTACTTAATATCTCAGTTAGAAAGGTAAACATTTCTTTGTAAAATTGTGATACTGTTTTATGCAGAATTTGGAATCATTTTACTGAAGAAAGGCATTTCCCAGCAAACACAGAGCATCAAAATGAATAAGTTCAAATAGAATTTTTTTTTCTGATGAAACTTTCTAAGTACTTTAAATAACTGTAGGCCCAGTTTACTTGTAATACCCTTAATAAGGGATGGTAGGAGTTCATTAACTAGGCCCTTAATAAGGGGCCTTTCTAGTCCAAGGAATCTTACAGTTGCCTCTGAAGCTAGTTGTAGACCACGCTGCAAGATGAAATATCTAAATTTGTGTAATAGTCATTCTCAGAAAAATGTTGCCTTCAGGCAAACTTTGGTACCTTTCTTTCCGTGTTTAAATGCCTTTTTAATGATAAGCAATACACAATATCGAAATAATTTTGGAGGAGGAAGTCCGGTACCTCCTGCTTACGGTAAAGCGAACAAACAAGGGCTCAGCTTTTGTTCCCTTTGGGGAAAACAACCTTTCAGCCAAACTTCATACAAATGTATTGGGTAGTGCTGGTTTGTTTACCTTCAAAAAATATTGTAGTCATCGCTAAGGATTGATGAAGTGTGTGGTGATTTTCTTGAAAACGACATTTTAAAATAATGAAATGGGAAAGCATGGGGAATATTTCCTCTAAATCATACTGAAAGAAATACGCAGGTTGAAATATAACTTAACATTACATAATTTTTGCAGTTACTATATGGTCCAGACTGGCGTACTTGTCAGTTCCCCCCAAAGAACATTGAATTTCTCCCTTCGGGAATGCCCATTTTGTACCATCCAAGCTACTTGCAAAATCTGACCAGTCTGCACCAGGACTACAGTGGGGGGACAGTTAGTGCAAATAGCTTGCTTTGCTTTGCTTTGGGGTGTGTGTTTGGGCGGGGGGGAGACTATATGTAAATATATTCCATTTTCAAAATGTTTCTGAAAGGACTTGTTTGTGGTACTGTTACTTGCTATTTAAAACTCTTCAAAAATGCACGTTTTCCAAAATGCAGAAACGATCTCGGGAAAGTTTGCAGGGGGAGGGGGGGCTGTGGTGCGGGGGCGGTCTGCTCGGCTGCCCACATCCCCTCCCTGTGTTCGGTGCGCCGTGTGCGTACGGGTTCCCCGGAGCGGATCACCATATAATTGATGTGCAGTCTGCATTGCTGAATCCTGGACTGCACCATTCTGTGTTCAAGGGAAGATGTAATCTGATCCCTGTGCTGCTGAGGGAGGAATCTGTTCAGTCAAGGCTTTGACGGGGCATCGTCTCCTCCAATAATCTCCTGCGCTGCCTCTCATTATTCCCTCGAGTTCTCCGCATGTATGTATGTGTGTCCCGAGAAGCGGTTGGATACTGAGCTGCATTTACTGTGGAGTTTTGCTGCCGGTTCTGCTCCCTAATCTTCCTTTTCTGACGAGCCCGAGCATGTCCACATTAGAATCTGTGACATACCTGCCTGAAAAAGGTTTATATTGCCAGAGACTGCCAAGCAGCCGGACACACGGGGGCACAGAACCGCTCAAGGGGAAAAATACAGAAAATATGGGTTTCTACGGCACGTTAAAAATGATTTTTTACAAAGTAAGTAAGCTGTTTTCTTCCCGTGCTGTGTGATTGTGCGTGTGTGTGCCTGCCTGAGAGGAGAATCTGTATCGTCAGAGATGGCTGCAGTATCCTCTAATTTTGGTGGGTGGCTGGGTGTCTGGTATTCTGTTTTATATCATGAATGTAAGCAAATAATGGAAAGACAGTGGGAGCTGCAGAGAGCGTTGGATTTAAAATGTGTATTTTAGCCTGTGAATTTGCCACTAAAAACGTATTCCGACTTCAGAAATGTGGCTCCCTTCAATGCTGACCTGGAAATACTCTATCCTGACTTGCCTTTCCTGAAGCTGTGCCGTCAGTTTTTCTGTACCATATATGCGTAGTTTTTTTTTTTTTCTTTTTGCTTAGATGACTCTTAAAGTATAGAATCTGTACAGTATTTAGGATTTATATTGAAAGAAGCTATATTTATTTTCTGTACCTCATTAAAAAAATTGCAGAATTAATCTTTGGTTCTAAAGTCAGTTTTTTCAATAAAACAATCAAATATTTAAAAGACTTCTATAGTACTGTAGAAGATGCTTTATAAACTACTATAAAATCCAGTCCTTTTCTGGTGGTTTCCTTGTTACACATTTTTGGGCATTTTTAGTCGTTGAAGGGTTTCTAAGATGGAAATAAAGTTTGCTTTCAGTGGCAGATGGCATTCTCAGCAATGTATATATAAGATGTCCTGGGAAGTTCTGAAAGCCAGTATTATGAACTCAATTAGAATGAATATTAAAGTTCCTCATAATAATTGTGAAAATAACCTGTGAAAGTTATCAGAGAACTTGGCTTTAAGGTCATCTGTGCTGACTGCCCTCCCTGATGGATTCATTTGCGTGTGTGCCTGTGTATCTGCATGGGTGTCTATGAACTACATACGTGGGGGCACGTGGCTACCTGCACAGTACAGCGTCTCTATTTACGTTTCCTTTTTAATAAAAATATGTGGAGAAATAAAATAATGGGTTTTGAGAGGAATCGCTTTCAAACCCTGTAATGAGTGCAGAAACTTCGGAAGGGAAGAAGCCAGACCAATTTCATTGCTATCCAGTAGGTATTTCTTGAAGTGAGGTGTAGGCTGTAGATGGACTGGTTGTACCCGCACCTCTACCCCTGATATCTTGAATCATCCCTGTATTTTGGAAGACTGTCTTCCTGGTGGTAAAAATAGTCCCTGTCATCCAGTGTTGTTCTGAGAGATTTTTGAGAGTCCCTGTGATCCTCTTTAGTATGTATATTGTATCATGCTGCGTTATGGTGCTCCCATGGGAGGCAGTAGGTAGGAGAATAAGGCTGCTGCAAAGCAAGGCTTCTCAGCTTGTTACAGAAATGAGGAGACCTTTCACTCCGGGATGGCCCCCCACAACTTGCAGTTACACAGTAACTAATTAGAGGGTGCACATCTGAAAGGGATTGCAGAAATGGAAAAAGTTGAATCTTGCCAGATCTTATTTTTTAGTTTCAAAGTAAACGTGCAGTGAGATGGCCTCAGTTAACTGCTCATGAAGTCAAATAAATAAATAAATAAATACTTCTATTTTGATGTGGGCAAAGCATATTTCTGAATATATTTGTAGTATAACATGACATAATGAAACACCTTAAAAATGTAGGAGTTGTTACAAAGAAGCATGCCTCAGTCTTTTTATCTTTGTTATTGCTTTTCAAGGTAGAATATTTTGTCCTAAATGAGTCTGCCAATAGAGCTTTATTCTGTGCGCATATCAATTGATGACCCCCCCAGCTGTATTATGCCGTCTTCAGTATTTCTCTCTTATTGAGGGTTTGCTTTTTTTTAAGCTATCATTTTTTGCCCATATTAATTACTTTATGCCTTATAATCGCTATTCAAGATTATTGTGTTTACACTACTTTCCTTGTCCTTTTATGATACTGGTACTTAAAATTCAGTTAGTTACTTCTACGCATAGCTGATTTTGAAGTTTTGAATTTTGTTTATCTTTCTTAAAACATGCTTTTTAAAAAGGAAGATTGATGAGAAAGGCATGTTAAATATGCTGTTTTTCTATATGGACTAATATGAGATTTTTCTTCATGCTGGTCATTAGACTGGAAAACTTGAAAGATAAATTACTCTCAAAGAATATAGATGATGACTGTCAATTTTTTAATCACAATACACTGCTCTTCTATACAAAATATTACTCCTTTCAGTTTGTTAAGAGTAAAGCAAAGTGGAACAAATAGAAGAAACTATGAAACTTCATTTTCTATGTTAATTAACTGCCGAATTACCATTGTAGGTATATGAAAATTCAAAAATTAAAATATTAACTCAAGATTTGATAGTTGACAGGTGATTTTTAAAAGAAGTATCTCTATCTTTTTTTTTTTTTTTTTTTGGTTTTATCTTCTAGATGAAAAGAAAGTTGGACCATGGTTCTGAGGTTCGTTCTTTTTCACTGGGAAAGAAACCATGCAAGGTCTCAGAATATACAAGGTAATATTAAATATAATGGATTCTGTCGCTATTCTCATGCTTTTTAAAGAGTTGATTCTGAAAGCATTTCTTTCAGTTCATTCTCATAGACTAAGAATGCTACTAGTACTTTTGACTGTTCTCACATATTTTAAGATTAATGAAAATTGAGAAATACATTACTTTAAGAAAAGAAGGGCTACTACTATAGTTTGTATTTTGTTGCTGAAATGTTGAAGCAAGACACGAGCAGAATTTTCTCCTGTGGACAGAATTTTAAAACCATAGTTTTTAAGAAATTTTCAAAAGTACCACATAAAATAGGAATGTGAGCAAATGTATTTTGTTACTATAGCAACAGCTATTCTAGAGTGAATATTTATATATGTGAGATTGGAGATAAATTTATTAGCAGTGAAATAAATCTCACGATTACTAGCTAAGTTTCATGAGATTAATGTGTAGCCATTATTGGTCTGGTAGATCCTATTTTTTTCTACCACATACATTTCTACACTAGAAGAATAGTTTCCATAACAACTAAATACAATTGTAGTTTTGTTTCCTGCTTCAGTCCATCATTTTTGGATTTTGCATCAGTGTAAAACTTTTCCCAGTCTCACGCTAATTAGGCTAACTTAGGCACAATATCTATTACCCAGCCAATTAAAAATGGCTTTAGATGTCACTTAGAATGCAGTAATTTACAATTTAAATGACAAAGGTGTCTTAAGAGCTTTCTTTGGTCTTTTAAAAACATAATTGTCATTTCTTCAAGTAACTGAAAGTTAGCCATAGAAACTATAAGAACTCCATGGTCAATGGCATTCTTTCTTCTCAAAATATTTTGAGTTATTTTTGTTTTATCAGATGTAATAAAATGAACATTTATCAGACATAAGTTTTTTTAATTTTAAACATTGTGGCAGAATGCATCTCCTTTTTCAGAGGAGTAGTTTATTTTTATTTCACTTGTGGGAAGCATTTTTTCAAGTATTCTTTTTGAAATGTAGAAGTTAGGATAATTGCACATATTAAAAAATGGGAAGATGATACAAAATAGAAAAGCAAGCTATCTCCGGCCACTGCTTCTCTGTGTGATTTTCCTCATCCATCCCCCTCCCTCTGCCTCTGCCTTTTGACAATTTTACTGTGTTTGGCACTTCCACCAGAGGGTGTGGAGGGACAGAGAGACAAGCGAAGCTATTCTCTTCATTTTACGTTTTCCTTCCAGCCTTGATAAAGTATTTCTTGAGTTTAATGTTGAACTAACTGTTAAAGCTCTTTTGAAAATGGATATATTCCAATCAACCTTACTCTTTTGATGGTCTATTCATATGGCTGATACCAAGACAAAGGTATTAAGTTGTTTATGAGGTAGTTATAAAGAATGAATACTAAATTTTTATTATAGAATATGTTTTAGTAAAATTTGTCTTTAGTAGTTACTTATGTTTTATATTGAGGAAACATCTGAAAAGGCAATTTTTTTTTTGCCTTGCAACATACAGTCTTACTAAAACAAAATTAGACCAAACAGCATCTTTGTTTCCATGTCTTTTTGAAGACTCTGTCTGTTGCTAAGGTATATATTTGATGTTTTGTGATATTTTTTGACAGGTTAGGTAATAACATGAAACTATAATTTTCCATTGGCTTTTTCTTAGAAAATTTAAGTTTATAAACACATTCTATTTTATGTTGGAGGGAAAAAATAGAGTTTGAATTTGAAAGAAGAAAGGATAGATTTGTTGAAAGTTTTATTATATTTGAAAGGCAGACAGACACAGAGAGAAAGAGAGAGATACAGAAATAGGGAGAGCTCTCCTATTTGCTGGTTCACTCCTCCAAGAGCCTGCAACAACAGCTGGAGCTGGGTGATGGGGACTCCAGCATTTGAGCCTTCCCTCACTGCCTCCCAGGGCTGCATGTTACTAAGCTAGAATCTTGAGCAGCCTTGGGATTCAAACCCAGGTACTTCAATCTGGGTTGCTGGACTCCCAAGTGGAGTTTTAACTGCTATGCTAAATACCTGCTCCATAAATATAACTTTATTAACCAAATCCTCCTGGTTCTGTTTTCCTCATGTCTCTAAAATGGAGATGCTCAAGTTGCCTTGAGACAAATTAAATTAGGTATAGGAATTAGAAAATAAAGTCCAGTGCATTACTAACGTGTTGATAGCTGCATTGTTTGTGCTGTAAGTTATTCTTTAAGACAGGTAATTTTAGACCTAGATTATCTTACTCCCTTATTCTACTAGTGGCAGAATTGAATTTTAGGTTTTTAAAATTGTTTGACATTTCAAATTGTTGGGCATGTTTAAGTTCACTTATTTAATTTTGTATATAATAAGTTTTAAATTCCAATTTTTAATAAATATGTTTCTAATCAAGGCTAATTCCTGTCAGAATCTAGACCATGCTCTATAAATAACAATGTAAAATTGGAGAGAAATAGATGGATATTATAAATAATTTTGAAGGCCTCTGGAGCAAATATAGGAATAATACAGCTAGTGAAATCCAAAACGTATGAACATAGTATTTCTACATTTAATTACTTGTTAAGCTTTACTAGTTTGATACCCTTTATTATTAAAAAAAAAAAAAAAATCTAGCTGTACTTAGTTATGTCACTGAAGACCTGACTGTAGAAGTAGGGCCTGCATAGTCCAGGGAAATATTGAACATTATTTATATATAATCAGTAACTTTCAGTTTGGCCAAGGAGATTCTGTCATTTGGATGCAATTACCACTGCCAGGCTAATAACAGGTGGTTATGTAGGAGGAAGAAACTTAACTCTAAGAATAGAAAGTAGGTTTTGTGTAGCCCTGCTCTCTGGGAATAAGCAAATAAAAGTAATAATTGCTTTAATGTTTGAAGTCTGCTAGATCATTCTTATTAAATCAGAGCCTATTATACCTAATCAATGTTAATTTTGCTTGTACTCTTTTTTAAAAATTTGTTTTTGGTAGTACCACTGGGCTTGTACCATGTTCAGCAACACCAACAACTTTTGGGGACCTGAGAGCAGCCAATGGCCAAGGGCAACAACGGCGCCGAATTACATCTGTCCAACCACCTACAGGCCTCCAGGAGTGGCTGAAAATGTTTCAGGTGACATATCTAAGTTCTGTCCTTGAAATGCCTCCTTTAGTTACTGCAAAACATAAAGAGTTAGTCATAATTTTAAAAAAATGAATCAAGTATGGTCGCATGCTACACGATGGTGAACCTTGAAAACATTGTGCTAAGTGAAAGAAGCCAGCCCTAAAAGACCACATGTCGATTCTGTCTGTTTGAAATGTCCAGAGCAGGCAAATCCATAGAGATAGAAAGTAAGTAAGTGGTTGCCAGAGCACTAGGGGGAAATGAGGATTGGAACTAACTACTGGTAGGTATGGGGTTTCTTCTTGGATGATGGGAATGTTCTGGAATTGGTTAGTGGTGATGGCTGGCACAGTATGGTGGGTGTGGTGGGACTGCTGAAGTGTTTACTTATGGATATATATATGCATATCTCGATTTAAAAATGCTGCTAGAGAATAGGACACTCCCTTTAAATATAATGGTTAAGAAAGTCCAGCGCTCATTTTGTGTGAGTATGTGCTTTTTACTGCTTTTGAAATAATAAGACCTTTCTTCCTTTCTCCTTTATTTTTGCATTTCTGGATTGTTGAATGTCCTCTTGTTTTCCAGACTGCATTGCTGTTAGGCATTTAAGAGCACTTTAAGAACTCTGTTTATTAATATTAGAGATAACTTCCCTATCGTGACTACCTTTGTAGAGTTGATGCAGCCTCTTTTCATCAGCGGGCTCAAATTCTCATCACTTCATTTTACTGGTTTTTAAGTTCTTTGAATATTTGCTAGGAAGACTAGTTACAACCAAACCTTGAGTATTGTGAATTTTATAACTTGATAGTGATATTAAATCAATTTAGCTCTTCTTCCTGAAAGGTAATGCATATAAATTAAATGTTTAACAAAATAGCATGGATTAAGTACTCAATTATTCTGCAAATAATAAATAATATAAATGTTATAAAGTGAAGATAATCTGATAATAGCCATCATACTAATATAAAGTGAATGCATTTCATCGCCTCTGGTTGCTTGAATGTTTGGTTATTTAGTGAATGAATACAGGGGTAATGGTTAAAAAAGAAAATATTGTATCTGGTGTTTTAGATTTTTAAGATATTCACTTATGTAAATCCCAATATTTTATTTACTGGGCCAAAAACAAAATAAATATCTCCATTTTTTTCTTCATAGCTGGAAAATTCACTTGAAGCAACGTTACTTTCAAATAGCTAATTAAAAAAATTATTTCAGAAAAACTAAGAACTTTTTTTTTTTTTTTTTTTGGATAGGTAACTGAACAATTCAAGCCCAGGTTCTCAGCAGGGATCGACTTTTCCCTCGGTTGAGACCAGGGTGTCTGAAGCCCCAGTTTGGTTGTTACCACTAAGGGGTTTAGGGGAAGGCCACTGCTGACATCAGTGGGCGGAGACAACATAAAGGACAGCCTCCCACTGCAGACATCCATCCATCCCATGTCAAGCGTGCTCAGATGCCCGCTCTCTGCAGTACATGGATGAAACTTGTATTTTACTGTTTTTAAAATGTGATTAGTCACTAGAATGAAAGATTTTTTTTTTGAGTTTTTGTAGTCATTTATTGACTAAACTTACCAAGGATAATTCCTACCTCTACCTCTCCCTAGATTCTTTTACCATAGGTCATGATAGTTTTAATTTTTAAAATTAATTTTTATTTTTTTCTTATAGGCTCTCAGAAGTTTAAATTTTTAGATTTTATTCTGTGAAAAAGAAATTTGTCCATCAATACGAGGTGAAAATAAATCACAGACATTTATGTAGTGGTAAAGAAATATTTTAAAGGTTGAGTCATCTCTGATTAAGCCCAGGAGATGGGAATAGGGTGTGTGTTTCAAGCTTGCACACGCACGTAGTGCACGCAACAGAGCATTCAAGAATAGTGCAGAGCTGATTTCATACCATTGTTAGGAGAAAATGCCAACATGACTTGAAGTTACACCATTAGTAATGGTTTTATCGTCATTGTAAACAGCATTCTTCCAAAATGCTTATTTTAGATGAAAAAGTTTGTTGTCAGAAGGTACTTCAGAGTAAGATTTAATTTTTTTTTTTGGTGGTAGGGCCCGTTTGTTTTAAAATTTTAGAGAGCCAAATTATTCTTTGCTAGTTACTTACTTAGAGTATTGCCTGGTTTTAAGGGACGTCGCTAATATTGATTGATAGTAGCAGGCATTTATGCATATTATTTTGTCATGTATGGATATTTTAGATCATCGTCTGGAGTGTGTTTGCTTGTTTGGCTCATGCTTTCCTTAATAAAATGTCCAAATGTTCCCACCTACTGTATTTCAACAAACCTGAAACACTGTAGATTGTTTGATGCAGCTGAATTTAATTGTAAAAAAAGAAAGACTTGCTTCTTAGAATCATTGAGACTTGATAAACTACGAAATGTGAGGCCAGCTTTTGGTCCTTTGAAAAGCATTTGCTTGTTTCTTCACATGAGAAGTAGGTACAGTGAGAAAAACGTAGGTAACAGTAATAACATGTGGAATTATCCCTGCAGGTATACAACTGTAGTGTGGTTGGCTGGCTGGCTGGCTGGCTGGTTGGTTGGTTGGTTGGTTTTTTTAATAGATAAATACTCTGTAGCAAAGAAATCTATAACAACAAAAGGTCAACTAGACCCGTGGCTGTGGAGCTTACTCTTTTGCGTCGGTGTCTAAGTCTGACACTCCCAGGGCCTCAGCATTGTACACTGCCCTTTATTTTCCAGGTGGATGCCAAAGTAACTAGAAACGAATCACTTGCCTGAAGGCGTACAGTGCTTTAATGCGGAACTTGTAGAGAGACGTAATTCCGTAGTAAAGTGGAGGAGTCGCAAGTTGACCTGTGTGGTGTAATTGAGGGGTAATTAAACTGCTGCGATTTCTGCAGCTGTGCTGGGCGGGCATTTAATGATGACTTCTCTGTTGCTTAACAAGCAAAATGGAGCACGTGTCCCCTCCCTGTTCCGCTGTCGCTCCTGAGGCAGTGGTACAACATTGTTTTGGTCCAGTTCCATCCATTCTGACAAAGTACTCTGCATTCAATGTATAAATTGCATGAGAACAGACGAGACACCATTTTGGGTAAAAGAAAACCGAGACAGAATGCCCCTGCAAAACGGAAGAGGAAATTAAAGACAAAAACAAAAAGCAGAAATTTTGTACCTTTTGGATTTTCGGTAGCCATTGATTCTACTGTTATGGTAACCAGATTGATGCTTCTGAGTGTTAATTTTGTAGGAGGGAGTCAATTGAGTTTGTTTATATGATGTGGATATGGATACGTGGTTTCTCACAGGAAACTTTTAGTGAATATTCTTTTATGTTGAAATTTACATTCAGAGGCATCCTAAGAGAATATGCACGTATGACTTAGAAAGTAAAGCTCTTGGTTCAGATTTTGGCTTTGCCTCTTAATACCTGGCTAATGTGATTGATATTATGTAACCACTCTTGCCCTTTATTTTCATACCTGATAAAAGAGATAAAAAACTAAATAAAATGTTGTCAAAAGGGAGGAAACACGAAAATGTGCTTAAAGCTGTGCATGGAAATATACTGGAGAAACGGCCTTTGTGGTGCTCAGTTCTCTCGGATTTAAAAGGGGGCTATTAATACTGGTGATTAAAGTATGTGAAAGAGCTTTCGCATTATATAAATGTCATTCTAATCAAAGCATATTTGCATTAAAGCTGTGAATACTTTGAAAAAGTCTTTATACTCAAAATATTACAAAGATAAAGTATAAAATACTGTTTTGATATTAAAAATGGAGTAAATACTACTTGTTGAAGGATTTAATCAAGTTTCATGGTAACACCGAAATCGTACATGTTTTCTGATTTATTTTATTTAAGTCTGATTTGCTAGTCAACCAAAGATTAAAATCCTACAGCATGGTGCCAAAAGAGGATGGATCTGTTATTACTTTGAAATTGTATTTGGTGCAGTATGATTAAGAAGCCTTGTTACATATGGAAAAGTTGAACAAAGTCACATATTTGGCCAGAGAAGACTAAGGGGAAATGTTGTGTCTGTCTGTAATATTTCACAAGTGGGAAGACTGATTCTTTGTTTCTTCAGAAAGTAAAACCTGGATCCTATTGTTTTGAGTTAGAATTTGATATGAAATTGAGCTTGCTGAGAAGAGCCCCAGTGGAGTGGGGCACGGTCGGTCCTGTGCTCTGGAGCAGTTCCGACAGACTGGGCAGCCCCCAGAGGTGTTGGGGGAGTGGTTCTCTGCCACATGGAACTGGGCTGCGGGACCACCAAAGTCAGAATGCAGGATGCACCACATCTGATGGGGACGCTAAGGAGCACGGGTACCAGTGGTTCCCAAACCTTGGTTTGAAGTCGCCTGCGTCAACAGTGGATGCGTCCTCATCCTGACCACCGAACCGTACTCTGATGCTGGGCTGTGACTCATAACGTTCCACCTGTCCCAGTGAACCAGTGGTCGGGCCCAGGCCCCTGGTCGTGTTGACAAACTCGCATGCAGTCCCACAGTTAGTTTACTGGTGACACCCAGGCTACTGGCTGCAGTTCAGTGCTCCTTCTGCTCTTCCCTGCTGCCTGGAGGCTCCGGTTTACCTGAAATAGATACCATTTCCATGGGGCATTGTCAAATTTGCATTTGTGGTTCTGCCCACAAATTAAAACTTGCTTCTCGTGGTTCTTCCTAGACCTGGAATGTTTTTCCTAACCCCTTAGTATGCTCCCACGTTACTACTGTGAAGGTCGAGTTAGGGTCATTAACGGTAAGGTTTTCTAATCAATGCATATTCCTTTGCTGCAAAGTAACATATATATGCAAAATTTGAAGCCACTCTTACAACCAGACCAAGCAAGCATGTTCAGTGATACCATCAAAATAAGAAATAGAAACACTCTATAGGGAGTTTTGAGATGGTGTTGGTGCAATATTTGTCTCTTTAGGCATCCATTCATTCATTTACTCAAATATTTATGGAGCAGGTGATTTGAGCTAGGCCCTACTTTGGGCCTTGGGTACAACTGTGAGTAAAACACATAAAAACTCCTTTTCATGGAACTTACATTCCAGTCAGGAGAGGTTGGGTTAGGAAGGTTGGAACTGGTTGGCAATTTTAGAAATGGTGCCCAGGGACCAGCATTGCATAGGGGGTAAAGCCGCTTCCTGCAACACTGGCATCTATGTGGGCACTGGTTCCTGTTCTAGCTGCCCCACTTCTGATCCAGCTCCCTGCTAATTGCCTGAGACAAGCAGTGGAAGATGACCCAAGTGTTTGGACCCCTACACCCACAATGAGAGACCCTGGATGAAGTACCTGGCTCCTGGCTTTGGCCTGACCCAGAGCTGGCCGTTGCAGCCATCTGGGGAGTGAACCAGCAGATGGAGGATCTCTCACTGTCTCTCTGTAGCTCTGAATTTCAAAATAGATAAATAATCCTTTTAAAGAGAGAGAAAGAAAAAAGAAACAAAAAGCGAGAAAGAAAAGAAATGTTTTCCAGAGAAGATTCCGGGGGAGGTAGTGAGACAGCCAAGCCATGTTGATGTCCAGGGAGAAGACTGTTCCAGGCCGCAAGGGAAAAGACTCAAGTAGAGCTTGTCTGGAGTGTCTGAGGCTCAGAGAAAGACTGTGAGAAAGAAGGAGAGTGATAGGATGTTAGAACCTGTACGCAGCCTGAGGGCTCTGGCTTTTATTTTGACTGAAGTAGGAAGTCACTGGAAGGTTTTGATTTTCAACGGAATCGTTGAGGACTGTGTGGAGAATAGAGCAGCCATGACAAAGGCAAGCAACAGAAATCAGTCCGAGGGTTATGGGGATAATCTGGGAGATAGATACCAGTGGCTTAGACCAGTGTGGTAATGGTCAGATTCTGGATGTATTTTGAAATTTGAGACCATAGAAATCATTTGCATGAGAGCCATCTGATGCTGAGAGAAAGAGGAGACAGGGATGCCTCCCGAGTTCTTAGCCTGGGAAAGTAGTAGAATGTAGTTACATCTTACTGAAACAAGTGCAGATCTGGAGAGAAAGATTGTGGACATGTTAAGTTTCTATTGTATCTAAGAATAAATATTGAGAGAATAATTTTATATACAGATCTAGAGTTCAGGGAAGAAATCCATACTGGAGAGAGAAAGGCTATCCAAATGGTTCAGACCATGCACCTAAGAGATACGGTTCTTAAATAATTAAACTGTTGAATAGATGTGGGCAGTAGAAACAGTCTTTTACTGTGTAATTATAGCTTATGGTACTAATCTTTATTAATGATATTCTTCTCAATACAGACATATCACAGACTAATAACTACATAACTTAAATTGAGATATAATTTTGATTTGACCCTTCTTAAATATACTTTAAAACAAAATAAAGATATTGCTTAAAAGACCATTGCAGTCTTAGAAACATTTTGCTATATAAGCATAATTTTTGTTGTGACTTTGTCTTATAAAAGGAGACGTTTATGACATTGTTCCAGACATTTACAGATCTGAACTGGTTGTTTAGCTTCTGTCCAGGCTTCTTTTTTAAACGTCTACACTCTACCCTCCAAAAGCTTTGATCAAAGGGACTGCTCATCTATTAGTGGTTATGTGCCATGTATCGATACTGATTTTTTTATCCCTTCCTTTTTAAGAAATAGTAATAATGCATTAACTGAAAACATAAGTATACATACAGTTTTTTTACTTTAGACATAGTCATAGTAGCTATTAATTTAAGTAATTACATGTAAAGTATGTAGAGAAGTTATACATTGAAAGATTTGTCATTCTTTACTGGAGAAACTTACATGGATAATTTTATTTTCCTATAAAAATTTTCATAGAAAAACCATAAGCACTTCCAGAAACATCATTAAAATAGGCTTTCATATTTGCAAAGGCGATTAAGACAGTTAAACTAACATTATTCTGTCATCAAGTTCCTTAATTAAAGCTGCATTTTGAGTCAGTATAGTTACTTGTCACCCCAAGTGGCCACGAGTCCCCTATGATAGAGCTCAAGAGAGACAACATATTAGAAAAAATGACCTCAAATCCTGGGAGAGATGTCAGTCGGTAAGGTAGTTTATGTTATTTTTTTTAATGGTCAGAAAGGAGTGGAGATTGGCCACATTGTCAAAGAGGTAAGTTGTGAACTTCTTTGAACCTCAGCGTTTGAATTTGGGTAAAGGAAACCAAACTGAATAATCAAATGTCTAACTAATGTGTAGACATGTATGTTAGTATTTTTAGTTTCTCTAGGTAGTTCCTCACGCTGATCAAAAGTGATACAAGTGATTACTAAAGGTGAATGTTCCAAGTATGTGTAGACGTAAAAGAGAAGGACTCAAATATTATGGAAGTAGTGAAATATTATTGAAGTGTTTAGTAAGGCCGCTATAAACTGCATGATCAAAGAAATGAAGTTTATTGTAGACTACAACAAACGGGCAAATGCTTTTAAAAATACTTTCCAATTATGTATTTCACATTACAGAATTCAAGTTTCCTTGTTTAAGAAATGGAATGTCAAAATCCACGTCTTTCTAGCTCCAAAACTCACCTATTATTTTCTATTTACCTACAACTAAAATGGACATAATAATTAATTTTTAAAAATATTTATTATTTGAAAGAGTTACAGAGGGGGGAGAGAGAGAAAGAAAGAAAGAGAGAGAGAGAGAGAGATTTTCCATCTGCTTGTTCACTCCCCGGATAGCTGCAATAGCTGGGGCTGGGCCAGGCCAAAGCTAGGAGCCAGGAGTTTCTTCCGTGTCTCCCACGTGGGATGCAGGGGCCCGGGTACTTGGGGCATCTTCTGCTTTTCCAGGCTATTAACGGGGAACTGAACAGGAAGTGGAGCAGCCAGGACATGAAACAGTGCCCATATGGGATGCCAGCGAAGCAGGCAGCAGCTTTACCCGCTACGCCACAGTGCAGGCCCTTGGACATAATAATTTAAATTGGTACTAAGATCAGCATAGTTTTCCGGAAATAAAGACCTGCTCATGGGTGTTCTTTCCCTTAAGTATAAGTAATACAAGGTTATTTAAATGTTTTGCATGATTATTGTGAGACTTTGACATTTTAATTATTCACATAGCTTTTTGGGGTTTCCTTGGCTTTTGTGCATGGGTGTTCCTCACCTGAAAAAAGAACTTGTTTGTAATCCCCTGGCATTGTTTAAAGGAACTCATATTTTCAAAATATAATTATGTATTTTTGTTTTTCTATAACGTAGCACTTTATGTCCTTCCTTCTTTAGATCTTTGTTCATATTCTCAACTTACTACTAGGCTTCTATTTTTTATTTTCTGTTGTGTATCTGAAAATACTTTCACATAACAAATCAAAATTCTTTGAATTTGTGGAAGACACATCTCAGATGCTCCATATGTAGTTATTAATTTTTCTCTAAATGATTCTGCTGATGTCCTAACTCTTAGATGGGTGCCTTATTAAAGCCATCAAATTTTATGGTAACTACTAGAAAGATTATAGAGAAAGAAAAATCGTAAATATTCCCTATTTATTCAGTAACACAAATTAATGTTTCTCAGATAAAATTTCAGTTTCTCCATCAGTTTCTGGATGGCAGATGAACATAAAACTATTATAATTATGTAATAAAAATATTTTTTTCTGCTGAAACCACTGATTTTCAAAAGTTTTGACAAGAAAAGATAGAAAATTTGATAAGACCCCAGTGACTTCTGGGGGAAATGTTGCTGTAAGTAGCTACTGTTTATATGATTCTTTCTTGTTCAAATTTGATTGAATGTGCTTGTGGGGTTTCCTTAATGAGTTTATAATTTGTGATACCTGTTAAAATGAAATTTTTAATTCTTTGATAGAGCTGGAGTGGACCAGAGAAATTGCTTGCATTAGATGAACTCATTGACAGTTGTGAACCTACGCAAGTAAAGCATATGATGCAAGTGATAGAGCCCCAGTTTCAGCGGGACTTCATTTCTTTGCTCCCTAAAGAGGTAAGGAGCGCCAGTTCCATTCTTCACGGGGTGCTACTTCATATATATCTCAAGAGCCACCACCTTTAGACATCGCCATGCTTATTATGGTATTTAGTGTTGTCACTTTTAACACTTAATTAGTGGTAAAGAGGGCTGTGAATTGATACAGACTGCTGTGACTTAATAATGTCATTGTCAGAGTGAAGTATGCTTATGGACTGCAGCTTCTTTTCACTACTTGAATAAGTGATGTATCTGAGAGGAACTATTGAGTTTCACTAATGTGGCTACATTTTCACAGGTGATTTGAAGCTTATCCTTTCGTTTTTCTGGTATGTTCATTATAGTGGGTTTTTTGAAAATTCTGATTTTTATTTAAAAAAAACTTATTTGTTTTTATCTTATTTTGTTTCGTTATCCTAAGTCTCTTCAAGACCAATAGATTTATGAATCTGTTGAGTTGTAGTTCCCTGGTATTTATATTGTATAATTATTTTAAAACACATAGAATTTTACAAGTGTGTCTTTTTCAGTTAATGTCATTTTTCTCTTATCTCCATTTTATACACACATACACAGTTTCTCATGCCAGTTACATTCTTATGATACTTCTTTGAGGATTATTTATACCTTTTTATTTTTCTGTTTTTATGTAAACTAGCACTCGTTTTTATTATAGACTCAGTATGAGCATATGGACATTCTTGACTGTATAAATAAGGTATAGTTTAGTTGTAATACTTTTATTACTACTGAAGACTACATAGTTTCATTTCTTCAGCAGATGTGAATAATATAGCAGTCGGTGGCACTATGCAGGGGCAGGTTAGGTGGTGCAGCATGTTAAGCCACTTGCAACATTTGAGTCCCTGTTGCTCTGCTTGCAATCAGCTTCCTGCTAATGTGCTTTGGGTCAATGGAAGATGCCCCAAGTACTTGGATCCCTTCACCTGTTTCAGAGACTGCAGTGGAGTTCCTGGCTTTGGCCTGGCATAGATCTGTCTGTTGTGGCATTTAAGGAGTGATCCAGCAGATTCTCTTCCTTCCCCCTCTCATCCAGGTACCCTACATGGATGCAGGGGCTTATGCGCTAGGGCCATCTTCTGCTGCTTTCCCAGGTGCATTAGCAGGGAACTGGATCTGAAATGGTACAGCTGGGACACAAATTGGCACCCATATGGAATGCCAGTGTTGCAGGCTGTGGCCTTACCCAGTGTGCCACAACACCAGCCCCTCCAAAAAAAAATTTTTATTTTTGCTAGCTCATTCTAAAATTGAAACCTTTGAATAGATTTGACTTATGAAAGCAGTATAAGCTAAGCTGTTTGCTTCCAGAAGGACATTAATAACGGGAAACTCTTGAGTATTTGACCAGAAGTGAACTTATTCAGCCTTGGGATAGTCTTCAGCTTCCCCTGGTATCCTTATTTCACAGGATAGTAGTTCTGTGAAAATGCAGACTTCCTCATAGTGTAATTTGTCTTCTTATCTCTAAAAGTTATGAGTTCTTTTTGGTTTGCTTTTGTTTTATTTGGATTTCTATAGTAACTTCTTAACATACAAATGTGATTTATAGTCAGAATATGGAAATATTTTGAAGAGTCTAACAACTAAGCCTAAATTGTCAATAACTAGTATAAATCTTGGCTTAAATGTTCTTTTAAAGATTGGCTGGGGAAAAGGTGAAACCGAACAGAATAAGAGAGTGCCGTGGCTTAGCAGATCTGTGTCTACATTTCATTCTGGTTTCAGCAACAAGAAAAAAAAATTATCCGAATTAGAAAATGCTTTATTTTATATGTGGAGAAATAGTGGTATAGATCTAAGTCTTAGTTAGCATTATCATATTAAATATGGTGTTAAATATCATATTAAATACTAAATATCATATTAATACATTTTAATATTAGCATTATCATATTAAAGTATTATTATTTCATGGCAGGAATTGTACTTACAATGTTTTTCTTAGAATTTCTGTGAACATGTTTCCAAACTCTTTACCAACATTTTCTGATTAATTTCAAAAGCTTTGACAGAAATCTCACTACATGTCAGATGGGAGGCCTGTGATAAATAGCATTCTCCCTCTTTTATAATTAAATGTCCAGAAAATTGCAGTTGGTACAGTAGGTGATCTAGAACAAAACTTAAAATGAACATAGAATCAGCCAACGTTTTCTTTTTTCTCTTAATTTTTCCCCTTGATTAGTCTACTAAACCATAGCGATTCTGGGTAAGTGTTGGCTGCTTTTTACAATGTGGTGGCCTTTTATATATAGGTTTCAGGGAAAGATAAATAGCAACTCTGAAATTATAAATTTTGGCAAGGAAAAGGTATAATTATCTGAAATAGGTTTTTCAATTTAAGAGTTTCTGTCTCTTAAAGGCAGAGTGATCATTAGGAAGAATTATTAATGTGGGTTTTCCCTTTAAACCAAATGAGTAGAAAAACTGCTTGGGCTAGACCGTTTGAGTGGGCTACAAGAAGACTGTACTGTAGCTCTGTACCAGTGTTGCCAAAACGTCTTCAGTTCTGTCTGCTGCAGCAAAGTACGTGGCTTATCAACAGCAACACTTCGTTCCTCACAGTCCTGGAGCTGGGAAGTCTGATCACGGTGGCAGCGTGGTTGGGTTCTGGCGTAGGCCCCCTTTGTGTGGGTCTGGAGACCTCCATCTCCTGCGTCATCACATGGTGTGCCCAGAGAGGGCTCGAGAATCCTGAGGGCCTACTTTTAAGGGCATATTAGTCTGCTGCACGAGAGCTCAATTCCATGACCCAGTTACCTCCCAGAGGTCCCGCTTGCTAATTCTGCCCCATTCAGGGTTCAGACCTCACCATGCAGATTTGAGGGGACCATTTCAGCCCCCTACATGAGAAACCTGGCTTCCCTTGAGGGGCTACTATCCTTCCCCGCAACAGTAGGAATCATGTAACGAATTTCTCTTCCCCTTTTGCTTGGCAGTTTAATTCAAACACCACGTAAAGCATTGTTGCCAACAAACTCGTGTTCCACTTTTTCCCTGGTTAAAATCTTCTGGTGTGTATTTTTCCCGATGCTGATCTTTTTATTCACATTCTCTGTTTTGCTTTGTATGTGTTCTGCATTACCTATATGGAAGGGTCTCAAAGTAAATAGATGAACATTTAATAAGTTCATGGTTGAGTTAGGGCCTTTGCCATTTTAAAGGAAAATGTGCCATATGTGGTGTTAGCACTTCAGCTTTCTTGAACACCTGAATGTTTCTTTGCATTTCTCTTTTAATGCATGTAGACATTGGATTAGACAACCTCCTAATCAGTATTAATGAAGGAAATTTTACTTGCTGAGTTGGAGTTGTGCTTTTTTAAGATTTGTTTGTTTATTTGAATGTCACAGAGTTACAGAGAGGGAGCAACAGAGGCAGAGAGAGAAAGAGGTCTTCCATCTGCTGGTTCATGCCCCAAATGGCTGCAGTGGCCAGAGCTGGGCTAGGAAGTAGCCAGGAGCTTCATCTGGGTCTCCCACGTTAGTACAGGGGCCCAAGGAGTTGGGCCATTTTCTGCTGCTTTCCCATGAGCATTAGTAGAGAGCTGGATGGGGAGTGGAGCAGCCAGGACTCAAGCTGGCGCCCACATGGGATGCCGGCCCTGCAGGTGGCAGCTTTACCCACCACAGCACTGGCCCCCGGGGTTGTATTCTTGAAACCCAGGCTGTTCTGGATTTGTTGTTTCCTAGCATGCAGTATCCATTGGCTATTTCTGTAAACTGCTTGATTTCTAACTCAGATAACCAAAGAATTGTGATATTTTTGTATCGTGGTTCTCCATATATCAGGCTTTAATTAGCATCTCTTGTACTCTGTCTGAAAATTTCTGTGCTAAATTATAATTCCACATAAATTAATCATATGATGACTTCACATTACTACTATGCTGACAGTATGCCAACTTGCCTAAACTTTTATTGTAATTAACTGGCTTTATGGAGTACCTGTTAAAAAGTACAATATTGAAAGAGAGGTGCGTGCATTTGTTTATGTGTATACACATACGTATATGCACACATGCATAGGTTATTAAATATAGTTATACCTTTGTTTAAGTGACTCCATTTCTGTACATAACACTGAGTGGTCTTCTCTGGTAGACCAAAGGTAATTAATTATCTTGCAAAAAGTTTTCCACTGTCACTTATCAATAATGGTATTAAATTGAATACTGGCTGGTTGGAGCACTTTGTATATAGAATGTGCTCCATAAATATGTGATTGATGTGGAACTCTGTACATATAAAGTCATTGAGAAGTGGTTATTTATATCATGTAATTCCTACTTAGCAACAAAAAAACCTCAAATTGTTGTTTTGCTTTATTCCCTATATGACCCTTGACCCTTTAAGTGATGGTTAATGTTAATCCTTGTCATAACTTTATCGTTCTTTGATGAACTTTTCTCCAGATATCATAATTTAAGTTTCTTGTGTGACATGTGAGGCTACTTGAATCAGCATTGTCAGAGGCTTCCATTTTCCTCTTCCCTTTTCTTTTTTATTTAAATTGACTTTATGCACATTAAAAAAGATACTATAAATAAACTTTTTAAATCACAGAGCTAGCTCAAATATGCAACTCTGTGTAGCCCATCAAGAAAATCTCTATAAGCAATGTAAAGTAATTAGAATCCAGTTATATATCTACCTCTTAGAAATGATATGAAGGGCCGACGCTATGGTGCATCGGCTTAACGCCCTGGCCTGAAGCACCGGCATCCAGTATGGGCGCTGGTTCTAGTCCCGGCTGCTCCTCTTCCGATCCAGCTCTCTGCTGTGGCCTGGGGAGAGCAATAGAAGATGGCCCAAGTGCTTGGGCCCCTGCACCCATGTGGGAGACCCGAAAGAAGCTTCTGGCTCCTGGCTTCGCATCGGCACAGCTCCGGCCGTTGCAGCCATCTTGGGAGTGAACCAGCAGATGGAAGACCTTTCTCTCTCTCTCTCTCTCTCTCTCTCTGTCCCTACCTCTCTCTGTGTAACTCTGACTTTCAAGTAAAATAAATTAAAAAAAATCTTTAAAAAAAATAAATGACATGAAATTGAACCACAGAGAACCTGTAGAATCTTATTATCAGACCATGAGGCAAGCATTCAGGTGGTGTTCAGTGAATGTATACTGTAGAGGGAGAGAGTAATTTTAAACAAGTAATACAGTTAAATTATTGAGCTGAAGCTCACAGAGGAAAGGAAAGAGCAGAGACTGAGGCGTTAGTTAAGTGTTCTTTGAAGAGGTAGCGTTAGGAAAGTTCATAAAAACCAGGATGGTGCTTGTTTTTAGTCTACTGCATATTTGTTAAGATTGAAGATACAGGGCAGGCGTTGCGCTTACAGCAGGTGAAGCTGCCATTAGGGAGGCCCACGTCCCATGTCAGAGTGCGGGTGTGAGTCCCGGCTGCTTTGCTTCCAGTGCATCCTGGTGGCAGCAGACAATGGCGCACATGCTTGGGTCCCTGCCACCCACATGGGAGACTGCTGGATCTGGCTCCTGGTTTCAGCCTGGCCAGCCCTGGCTGTTGCACACATCTGGGGAGTAAACCAGCAGATGGAAGATACTTTCTGTCTTTCTCCCTCTCTCTCTGTCTCACTCTGCCTCTCAAATGAATAAACAAACTTTAAAAAAAAGATGAAAGTTACTGTCACATAATTTTAGAAATTATAATGTCAAGTTACATCTATATGCAAGTATTTTATCCTATGGATAATAATGCACTTGTTTCTGTAAATTGTTCTTTAAAATGTGGGTATACTATGCGTCTCTTCTTTTTCATAGCTGGCACTTTACGTGCTTTCATTCCTGGAACCCAAAGACCTGCTACAGGCGGCTCAGACGTGCCGCTACTGGAGAATCTTGGCTGAGGACAACCTTCTCTGGAGAGAGAAATGCAAAGAAGAGGGTAAGACTCAAAGCTGCATGGAGCGTAAATCGATGCTTCGGAAAAGGAAAGCGATGCTGAAAACAAGTAGGGAAAATAAAAATGAGTGCATTTGATGTGCAGGTAGAATAAAGTAGTGGGTCATTGAGAAAAGGAGAGAGAGAAGTTTGACACCCTATAAAAGAATGGGTCTTCATTTAAATTCACCTACATGAGTTCAACAATGAAAAAGTCAAGATGAGGATAATTTAAAGGAAACCCCAAAGTTATATTATCAATTAAGTACCCAACTATTCAGTGATTGTTTGTTCCTTCCATGAATATTTATTGAATGTCTCCAGTGAGCTAGACTGTATTCTTAAATGCTGGTAAGACAGCAGCGACCTGCCATTTTCTTCCTGTCACGGAGCGTGTATTCCTGAAGCCTGTGTTTTTGAATACCCTGTCTCAGTAGAGGAGTAGACCTTGCGCATACTAATTCAAGGGAGAGCTCTCCGCTTTCCAGCAAACATGTAGGAAAATAGCATTTTTGACAAAATATTACTTGCTTTAGAGAGGCAAAACTTTTGAGAAAGAGTCATAGAACATGACCCAGGTAACTCTGTGGGTGGTCCTGTCTTTCGTGGTGCTCAAGGTCATGTGGGGAACGTTGACAGTTAGGCCAGGTTGGTAAAGCTTTGAGGAGGAGACCCCATATACTAGGTTTCTGATCCTGCTTCTACCCTGTCTAGGGCAAGGAGTAATCTGTGAAACCTTCCTTCTCAATTATCTGTATACAGAACGTGGGGTTCATAGCTCTGCCTTACCTTTACCATAGAGTCCGTTTTAGATGTCTTTTTACAAAGTGGTGACAAAGCCATAACAAAATCTGTCATGTAACCATCTGGAAGTGGTGCCGGGTGCTTCACGTTTTGTGCAGGGTCACCGCCATGCACCTCTAGAGCTTCTTCCTCTTGCCTAGCTGAGCCTCCATACTTGCTGTGGGCAGCTCTTCCCCCTCCTCCCCCGAGCCCCCAGCAGCCACCCTTGTGCTTTTTGTCCCCCTACGTTTTACTGCTCCGGGGATCTCAGGTGGGTGAAATCATACAGCATTGTCTCTTTGTGACTGGCTTCCTTAACTTAGCATGTCTTCAGGGTCCATCTGTGTCATAACGTGGGTCAGAATTTCCTTCTTTTTTAAGGCTGTGTGATACCCTGCTGTATGTAAAAACCATATTTTGTTGACCCATTCACCTGCCAGTGGACACTGGATTATTTCCCCCTTTTGACAGTTATTAATGATACGGCTGTGAACGAACATGAATGTACAGCTGTATATCTGTTGGGGTCTCTCATTTCTAGAGAGGTTAGGGTATATATCCAGAAGTGGAACTGCGAGGTCATACATTACTTCTGTGCTAAAGTGTTTTGAGGAGCCACTCTGCTGTTTTCCATGGCTTCACCACTTTGCGTTACAAGAGTACACAAGCACTTCAATTTCTTCATATCCTCATCAACATTTCCTGCAGTCATTTTGAGAAAGAAATGAAATACTGAATGTAAAAATATGCCATATATTAATTTTACATGCCGTAATAACAGTATTCAGTATTGGACAATGTCCTGCATTTCAGTGGTTTTGAGCATTGAGGAAAATGAGATACATTTGAAAATGTGTGGTGTTTATTATTGGTGAAGGCAGTTATACTCCTGAACTCTTTAACACTTTAGGAATTGATGAACCATTGCACATCAAGAGAAGAAAAGTAATAAAACCAGGTTTCATACACAGTCCATGGAAAAGTGCATACATCAGACAGCACAGAATCGACACCAACTGGAGGCGAGGAGAGCTCAAGTCTCCTAAGGTAACGGAACTCTCGCGTGCCGTAACAGGAGCCATGACCAGCCTGAGAGCCTGGTGTGCTCTCGTGTTGCGCTTCTTGACATCTATCTTCTGTAGAAAGAAAACAATGAATTTAAAAATAACTGAAAGTGTAACCGACAGTATTCCTGTATTGCTAATATCTCTCGTCTGGCAACCAACTGTACCTGAATAAAAAATGAGATGAATTGAATGTCTGTCTTATGTAAATGAAAGTCTCTGAATATTCCATTGGATTTTATTGCATCATATATTTGCCACTAAAGATGTGCTGCCTCCTTTGACCTCATAATCCAAACTTGATTTCTTTAAGGAGAATCTGTGTTTCGGTTTTTGATCATTCATATGTGTTTTTATTTTTATAAACAGAAATGTAATTCTGGTTTTTCTGTCTTACAACATTGGAAATATATGAAATGTAGAAATGCTTGAAACTCTTAGCTATCACGTTTTTACCACTGGGAAGAAACAATCTGGGGAGACACCGTCATGCTAATAGTATATACCGTGAATTGAAAAGCTATTTTCATTCCCGTCTTTGTAGTTAGTACATGATGTGTGTCAAAATTGCAGAAATTAGATGCATATTCTCTTGGTTTAAGCAAAGTAGATGATTATAAAATACATTTGGGTTTGAACCATCTGTAGGAGGTCTTGATAAATAAAAGTTAAATTTTAATGGTCAGTGTTTCAAGTATAAATAATGCAATATGGAAATAATACAACGTTTAATACTTGATTCATCAGCCAGAAAGGGTGATGCTTCTTACTTCATATAAATTTTAATTCTAGAAGTAGACTACAGATTATTGTTCCTATTTTCCGTGCTACTGGTATTTGAGAGTTTGACCTACCGGCACATTTTTAATGCGGACATTTCTCTTGCAGGTGCTGAAAGGACACGATGATCACGTGATCACGTGCTTACAGTTCTGCGGTAACCGAATAGTTAGTGGTTCTGATGACAACACGTTGAAAGTGTGGTCCGCGGTCACCGGCAAAGTAAGTTCACTTCTTTCTACACGTCCCAGAGTCACCGTTTTGTGTATTATGACTTTTGTAAGGATCCACTAATCAAAGGAAAGCAGCGATTCCTTTTTGATTCTTGCTTATTTTGATAGCAAGTATCAGGGGTTCTAACTTAGCCCCCCACCCCCCACACTGAGGAAAGTCACATGGGCACCGCTGTGCTTCTCACCACAGGGAGGTCGCTGGCACCGTCACCCTGTAAGCTGTTAGCCTGTCTTTGTGACCCAGCTGTTTTGAAGTGTTGCAGATGTGGTCTTTTTCTTGGCTCTGTTTTTCCCTCCTTGATTAACACTCTTAAGTTATACATCATTACTTTTAATGTTTTGCAAAAAAGTCTGATTGAGGGTTGTTTATTTTTTTCTTCTTTCTTTAATAACTGCTTCATTGATAAGCTACCTGTAGCTCCTCAGTTAAGCAAATCGTGTCAATTCAGACCTTCCTCTGACTGCTGTGAGCTGGGAGGTCAGCAAAGTAGGTATCCAAATACTAGTTTGAAGATAAAAGCTTTCCAGCACTGAGCCAGAGCGCATACAACATTCTACGCTGATGGCCGGCGCCGTGGCTCACTAGGCTAATCCTCCGCCTTGCGGCGCCGGCACCCCGGGTTCTAGTCCCGGTCAGGGTGCTGGATTCTGTCCCTGTTGCCCCTCTTCCTGGCCAGCTCTCTGCTGTGGCCAGGGAGTGCAGTGGAGGATGGCCCAAGTGCTTGGGCCTGCACCCCGTGGGAGACCAGGAGAAGCACCTGGCTCCTGCCATCGGATCAGTGCGGCGCGCCGGCATTGGAGGGTGAACCAACGGCAAAGGAAGATTTTTCTCTCTCTCTCTCTCTCTCACTGTCCACTCTGCCTGTCCAAAAAAAAAAAAAATTCTACTCTGGTGACTCCAGTGAATATTTATTTTTATTTTTCCACTGGAGAATGTTATCATGAATTAAGTAACTGCCACCTTAAAAATAATAGACGAGAGACAGAATAAAAATCTTATGTCTTTACCATGTTACTTCTTGGGCAAGAGTCTTAGAAATCTTCCAAGTCAGATGCTTAAATGTTGAAAAAGAAGCTTCATATTTCCATGGTGTAATATTAGTTTTGGATTTATTTCAGGGTTTTAATGTATGTCTTTACTTGTCTAGAAGTAGCTTGGCTGGCTCCTAACTACTGCCTTGGGGCAAATTCAGATGAAATGTGGTATGTAGGCACACCCAACACTGTTGGCATTCTTTCATTAAATCTATTACATACGTGGAAGAAACCGAGTTGCAGTTTTAGTGTTATTTCCTCAGAGGCCAGGCTGGAGCTATCATACTTCACTTTCACATCATGTGTTTGCTTTCTCTCCTATCGCAAGTTGTATAACATGTTCGTTGTCTACATATTTGTTCTTCATCTGTGCGTGTGTATGTGTGTGTAAGTACGTAATGCTACTGAATACACAAAGCAGTGAATAGTGATGGCACCTTCTTAAGTTGAGATGCAAAAAGTATTTTCTGATGGACCAAATTGAAGAAGTAATTTCACAGCAAATTTTAATGAGCTATTACACTGTTATTTAAATCACTTTCCTTTCTACCCAAAAGTAATCATCTTAAGTATTTTTCCAGTGCCTGAGGACATTAGTGGGACATACAGGTGGAGTATGGTCATCCCAGATGAGAGACAACATCATCATTAGTGGATCTACAGACAGGACCCTCAAAGTATGGAACGCAGAGACTGGAGAATGTATACACACCTTATATGGGCACACTTCCACTGTGCGCTGTATGCATCTTCATGAGAAACGGTAAGGGAAAATGGTGTCATCATAGCTGGGGCTTCGTCCTCTGTTACTTGGGAAGTGGTGGCCTTTCTGTGCAGCTACAAAGATATTGAGAATGTACTCTTGAATTAGGCTTCCCTCATTAAGCCTCAGATGTGTCTGTATTAGGAAAGCCATGGTAGGCTGGCTTAAAATCCAAAGATTGCCTTTAGGCCTCCTTTCTCACGTGGTAGTGTCTTAGACTTCCTCCTTGAAACTCTACTCCCTAATCTCTTGTATTTTTCTACATCTTTATTGACTAATCATCTTCAAGCGAAGTTGTTTTCTCCGTTTTTTAATATTCATATTTCACAAGTAGAACAAACCGTCATTCAGGCTTCAAGCTTATGAGACTTTAATTGCACATGCCCCCCCCACCCCCCATCCAATCTCCTAACTCTAGGCAAAAGCTGAGGCCTGTTGGTTCCAGTGTATTTTCTCATTCTCTGTTATCTAAACTGTTTTCCTACTGTATAGCTGACAGAAATTCCTCCTATACTTAGGGTCATATCACTGCCTTGTTCTTAAGTCCTTGGGAGTCCACTGTTGCCTACCAAATTAAGGAAGAAATCCTCAATCCAGTTTTCAAAATGGTTTCAGCCAAACCAGACTGCTTGCCTTTTTTTTCTTCCTGCCTTTGCGGTATAGCTTTTATCTCCTCCTGCAAAGCCCTTCTACTACAATCCTTTTTGTCTTTCTGTTGACAGATCTTCATTGTACCCCTGTTAAACAAATGTGATTTCTGCTTCATTTGTCAAAAAGCATGTCATTGGAGAGTCCTTATAGTGCATGTGCTACGGTGTTCTCTTTTAATTCTGCCCATAGCATCTTCTTTATTAAGAACCCTTGTAATAAGAGGATTTCACACTAGATTTCTAACTTAGCAAGAAGAGCACCTTTTCATTTGTAATGTGAATCTACTGTGAACAGAGTGCTCTGTTGCTGAAGTCTGGGGGATGGATATCAGGTGATGCTGTATTTCAGTTTCCGTTACATTCAGACTGCAGTCCCTCAGTGCTTCCATTTCCTGCTCTTTCAAACACGGGAACCTTGGCGTTTCTTCATCTCTGAGGGACGACAAGCGTTTTCAGCTTTGATCTGTAATCCGAAAATGATTATAAGATTTGTGTCACTCTGCTTTGTGAAAAAGTATAACTTTAACAGTTTGGTTCAGAATTTTCAGGTGCTTCTAAACCTGTATGTATTAATATCCCCTAGCCCATTAAATATTTAGACATTTAAGCATTATAACCATACGCAGTCTTTGAGTACATGTCTAAAACTGATTAATTTTACCTTATTATGTAGTAAAGCACTTATCTGTACCTGTTTAAATTGTAGATTCTGATTTGTTTTGGTGATTAACCTATATTGAATTTTTACCTGATCACACTGTTAATATGTGTTCATAATTGAAATTTTGAGAAATGACAAAGAGCGTAATAAAAAATATAAGCTATTCAAAATGATACCACCTAGAATTCTCCCACATACATATTAAATCCTCACCCTACCATTTTCTTTGTAAAATTAAGATCTTCTTGTATAAATGTAGACTAGCTTCAATTCTAATACAACATGGTGGTCTTCTCACTGTTGCACAGAACCTCAAGGTACTGGATCCAAGCAAGGTCCAGAAGTCAGGGAACCAAGCAGGTGGGATTCTAGGCTTCCTAGCTTCCAGTTCCAATCAGAGTAACTCAACATTGTATGTTTATATATCAAGGCTTTACTTAGGATTTCCTTTGAAAATGAGTTTCCTTACTTAGGAAGGAAAATAAGTCAAAAAGCATTAACTTCACCTATCATGTTATTAAGTATCCTCATGCTTTGTTGGTTTTCTGTCTCCTCCCACCCCAACACCCCCAGAGTTGTGAGCGGTTCTCGGGATGCCACTCTTAGGGTGTGGGATATTGAGACAGGCCAGTGTTTACATGTCCTGATGGGCCACGTCGCGGCAGTCCGCTGTGTGCAGTACGACGGCAGAAGGGTTGTTAGTGGAGCCTATGATTTCATGGTGAAGGTGTGGGATCCGGAGACTGAGACCTGTCTACACACGCTGCAGGGGCATACTAATAGAGTCTATTCATTACAGGTAAGAAAGTTTATCTCCGCCATCCCTTAGATGCTCTACTGATGAATCACAAGGTGGTTTTACTCAGATACAGTCTGAAAGATGAATCAAATTAATCTACTGTCTACATGTATTTTATAATTGGCATGGAGAAAAGCATAGAGTTTTAAAGTGTTTGCATTGTTTAGTGGTTTCAATTTTCTGTGATGCATTTCATTTTCCCTTTAAAATACAAATGTTTGTCTTGGAACCCGAGACTTTGGAGCTCCAAGTTTTGCTATATTAATTAATGGTTAGATAGTCTCACAGGAGAATCACCTGGCTTTTAATAAACTCCTTAGCAGCGGATTAATTTGGCCAAATGCTGCCCCTTTGCCTTGATAGCTCACAGCTGATGGACCATGTAATTGTGATTCTCTCCCCATTCCACGTGCGAGCAGAGCCTTTCAGCCGAAAGCCGCTCTGCTGTGCGAAGCCCCGGATGGCGGCCACAGGGAAGTAGATGTGACTAAGCTGATTTTGTCCGTTTCCATTTGAACCTGGTGTCTTTGAGGGAGTTGTCCTATTTCAAGGTAATGAACTAGATTAACAGCAAGGTTAGAAAATGGCTCTTGTTTATTTCCTCAAAGACAGCATTTTCAACTTGAAAATATTTCCCAAAGCTTCCATAGCTTACTTACAAGGGACTGCCCATTAGTGATGAGAAAATCAGTATGCAAGCACAGCGCTGACATTTTTATTCCTCGGGTATTTGTTTGCTAACTGACAGGATACTGTCCAGGCCATGAACTGTTGATGTATAATAAAGACATTTATTAAATTAGGAGCGGATTTGAAAAAGAAGACATTACAGCTGTTTTTATGTTGTGTGATATACTCAGAACCTTAGCGAATGTAATACTCTCAAAACGTTGTTACGTATATATTGGCTTTTGATGTAGCTGGAAAGCTGTGAGAAGAGGTGCAATACAGCTTGCTTTTGTTATCAAAATGCCACCTCTCTTAATTCCGGATATAATTATCCTTTGGCACATTTCCTAATTAGCATTAGGTCCTTGTAAATGGTAAATGAAACTTTTATTTTATGCACAGTTTTTAAGGGCACTTCCTTTGAGCGTTGTGGAAGATCTCTCCAGTGTTTTCCATGCCTTTGGTGCCGATAAGTGTGCCCCTTCGCAGGCTGTGTCATTAGTTTCGACTTCCTATGGGGCAGGTACAACTAACCCTAACTCAAATGGGCACCGCCCAGGACCCACCATTGTGTACTTGGGTAGCTAGAAAGTGGGGCCAGATGATACAAAAATACTTCGCTCATTTTAAGTGTTGCATTTTCTTCTTATTTCTGCATCTGGTTTGAAGCCACTGGGCATTAAAAAAAGTTAGCATTTCTGGTAGAAATGTTTGAGAACACCCTGTAGAGTTTCTTGATGATAGCACTTTGTCCTACTTGGCCACTTGAGCGTCATTTCGCTCTTGGCATGAACCGATGTCTGTGCTCCCCTGTCGTGATCAAGGCCAGCAGTGAATAGGAAGAGCATGCAGACGTGTGTCCTAATGACCCGTGTCTCTCGTAGTTTGATGGAATCCATGTGGTGAGTGGCTCTCTTGATACGTCGATCCGAGTGTGGGACGTGGAGACGGGGAACTGCATTCACACGCTAACGGGGCACCAGTCGCTCACAAGTGGGATGGAGCTCAAAGACAACATCCTCGTCTCTGGGAATGCGGATTCTACAGTGAAAATCTGGGATATCAAGACAGGACAGTGTTTACAAACATTGCAAGGTGCGTGCTGACTACCTGCCGTTAGCTGTGTGCATTACAGACGAGATCGGACTCCACAGCAGGATGGAGCCTCAGCGTCACACAGAGTGAACCTCCGACGAATTGTTTATTTCAGAGGAGCATAGGCGCTTTTTCCCTCTGACCTACAGGACGAGGCTAGCCCTGAGAAATGTGTGAAGTTGTGCTTTCAATGTGAAGTTACACCGTCACTTCCTGAACGTTGTTGACTCTGCCCAAATTTGGAGAACAGTGAGGACGATCTTGACTGTCTCAGAGAAGCAACGTGCCCATATTATTTTGGGGGGTGGCCATTTTATGTTGAATTTGCGGCCCGGCTTTTAAAGGGCTACATCGTTGAAGAGAACAGAGCATCTGATGGAAGCTTGGTTTGGCCTCCATTGAGCTGCCCACTTAGCTGGGTTGGAAGGGGTTAGCGGTGCCCACTAAAATAGAGAAGGAAACCTCAGAGTCACTAATTAGATGAGGCCCAAGAGTGTTAACTTTTTAGTTGATCACAGCCCTCAGATAGTGTTTTTCCCTGGGAGGCCGTCTGGCGGGGCAGTACTGTGGCTTGTTACTGTCCGATTTGTCTTTCCCTCAGAGTTTGAGGCTGGTCCCCATTCATTCCACTTTCGCCTGTGACTGCTCAGCTCAGAGTGGAAGGGTGGTAGATCCCGTACGCCCACTTGTCAGTCAGCAGAATATGTGAGGCTGGACAGTCCACCTCCTTGCCAGGGAAAGCTCTCATTGGCACAACCAGGAAATAAAATGCGTGCCTGGTAGCTCACCAAGCTTCCTGGAAGACAGAACTGTTGAAAGTGAATCCTTCAGTTACAAATAGCTACCAGATTTTCTTACATCCATGCTGATCCTAAAATACCCAGAATAAGGTTTCTAAATATGCAGCATTTTCAGTGTTGTGCTTGTTGTGTGTTCTAATGTAGAAGTCTACAAATTACAGCGTCACTAACCCACGGCCATGCTTTCTAACCAGTAATTCCATGCCTTCTGGTTTTGCCTAGGTCCCAACAAGCATCAGAGTGCTGTGACCTGTTTACAGTTCAACAAGAACTTTGTAATCACCAGCTCAGATGACGGAACTGTGAAACTGTGGGACTTGAAAACGGGTGAATTTATTCGAAACCTGGTCACATTGGAGAGTGGGGGGAGTGGGGGCGTCGTGTGGAGGATCAGAGCCTCCAACACAAAGCTGGTGTGTGCAGTTGGGAGTCGGAATGGGACTGAAGAAACCAAGCTGCTGGTGCTGGACTTCGATGTGGACATGAAGTGAAGAATGGGAAAGATGAATTTGTCCAAACGTGTAGACAATATACTCCCCACCCTGCCCCTACCCCCCGGGAAAAAAAAAAAGGAAGAAGAAATGAAAACAGAAAAGAAAAAAAAATCCCTTGTTCTCAGTGGTGCAGGATGTTGGCTTGGGGCAACAGATTGACAAGACCTACAGACTAAGACGGCAAAGAGGAAGAGATGACGAACCGCAGCCGACAGAGGCGGCGCCGGCTCATCGCACGGAGGCTTCACTTCTGACTGAGGGCAGCTTTGCAAAAGGAGACTTTTTCCAAATCAAACCAGGTGCAATTCTTTCTTTGGTTTCTTCTCCAGTGGTCATCGGGCAGTCTGAGTGCCGAAACATCGCTACGAATTCTGCTGGCCTGTTCTCTCACCACTGCCCGCCACAAAGCAGCTGCAATAACGTCCAAACACGTACTGGTTGACTTTCTAATTAGAGAGCATCTGCAACAAAAAGTAATTTTTTTCTCAAGTGGAAAGCTAAAAAAAAAAAAAAATTACTGTGAATTGTTTTTGTACAGTTATCATGAAAAGCTTTTTTTTTTTTTTTTTGCCAACCATTGCCAATGTCAATCAATCACAGTATTAGCCTCTGTTAATCTCTTTACTGTTGCTTCCATATACACTCTTCGATACATATGTTGCTCAAAGGTGGCAAGTTGTCCTGGGTTCTGTGAGTCCTGAGATGGATTTAATTCTTGATGCTGGTGCTAGAAGTAGGTCTTCAAATATGGGATTGTTGTCCCACCCCTGTACTGTACTCCCAGTGGCCAAACTTATTTATGCTGCTAAATGAAAGAAAGAAAAAAAAGCAAATTATTTTTTTTTATTTTTTTTCTGCTGTGACGTTTTAGTCCCAGACTGAATTCCAAATTTGCTCTAGTTTGGTTACAGAAAAAAAAAAAGACTTTTTGCCACTGAAACTTGAACCATCTGTGCCTCTAAGAGGCTGAGAATGGAAGAGTTTCAGATAATAAAGAGTGAAGTTTGCCTGCAAGCAAAGAACTGAGAGTGTGTGCAAAGCTTATTTTCTTTTATCCGGGCAAAAATTAAAACACATTCCTTGGGACAGAGCTGTTACCGCCTGTTCTGTGGGGAAACTTTTGTTTTTGAGGGCTGTGGTGAATGGATGAACGTACATAGTAAAACTGACAAAATATTTTAAAAAACATATAAAACACAAAATGAAAATACAGTCGCTGGTCAGTCTTAGTGTTTTACAGTATTTGGGAAACAACTGTTACAGTTTTACCGCTCTGAGTAACTGACAAAGCAGAAACTATTCAGTTTTTGTAGTAAAGGCGTCACATGCAAACAAACGAAATGAATGAAAAACTCAAATGGTTTGCCTCATTCTCCAAGAGCCGCAACTCAAGTTGAACTGTGAAAGTGGTTTAACACTGTATCCTAGGCGATCTTTTTTTTTTCCTCCTCCTGTTTATTTTTTGTTTGTTTTATTTATAGTCTGATTTAAAACAATCAGATTCGAGTTGGTTAATTTTAGTTATGTAACAACCTGACATGATGGAGGAGGACAACCTTTAAAGGGATTGTGTCTATGGTTTGATTCACTTAGAAATTTTATTTTCTTATAACTTAAGTGCAATAAAATGTGTTTTTTCATGTTAGTATGCCTGTTTCTTGCACTGCGGTCACAGTGCCTGGTGAAATGTCCAGGATTTATCTCCCATGTTAAGACAACAAAGCTATGGTCTCCTTGTGTTCCATGCATTGCAACTTCCGGCCCTGCTCTGCACAGCTGGAGTGAGGGTAACATGCTGCAGCCTCAAGTCTCACTGCCCAAGAAGAGTCCAGAAGACGTCCACAAGGCGTCTGTGCTAATTACAGCCAGAAGTCCTGCATGCACTGAGCTCCTTTGCAAATTCTGACCGTCACCATGTGCTTGCTAGGCGCGCTCTCTCAAACTCCCACAGTCCCTGGGAAGGAGGTATCGGGGTCTCCATTTGAAAGATGAACAGAAAACCGCATCTCACCCTTGTTAGGTAATGTGTGAGCCAGATGACTGGCCTAAAACTTAGCATCCAGACCCGTGTTTCCAGAAACTGTATACATGCTTAAAGCAAGGTTTGGAGGGATGGAGGCTGTCATTTGTGTGGGTTCAACAAATAATAAAAATAATGTGAATAAACCTGGTGCTTTATAAGGGAGCATATATGTATATATATATATATGTATGTGTGTGTATATACATATATACATATATATATATATATATATATAAAATTCAGATATCCAGGCCATAAAAAAAGGGACTCTTGTGAAGAGTAAGTTTCTCAGGCCTGGCTTTGGGGCATAGCAGGTAAAGCCTCCACCTGTGACACAGGCAGCCCATGTGAGTGCCGGTTTGAGACCTGGCTGCTCTACTTCCGATGCAGCTCCCTGCTAATGCACCTGGGAAAGCAGTAGAAGATGATCCAAGTGCTTGGGCCCCTAAACCATGTGGGAGACCTGGTAGAAGCTCTGGGATCCTGGATCAGCATGGCACAGCCTGGTTGTTGGCAGCCATCTGGGGAGTGAACCAGTGGAAGATTCTCTTACACACACACACACACACACACACACACACACCTCCTTCTTCTCTCACATAAAGGTGAAAAAGAAAAAGGTCATAAAAGCGACAAACAACATGAAAGAAGACCATGGGTAGGGAGTGTTTATGTTGTAATAAATTACCAGCCATACCAGAGAGCACTAAGAAGGTAAGACACACCTCCTAGCAGGGTCATGTGGACACACACACACGTCTCTCACAAAGTGTGTTCTTTACCCATAGGGTAGCAAATTGTGGGCCTTACTCCAAAGCTACTAAGTCAACATCTGGGAGTAGGACCAAGAATCTGCATTTAAACTAGCTCACTGGGTGAGCTGTGGATACTCGGGTTTGAGAACGACTGCCTTAGACACCAGTCCAGCACATCTGGTTATTAGGTTTCTTAGTGCATAGCAAATTACAGGCCGCAGTGACAACAGGGTAAAGGCAAAGCCTGAACACGGCCTGGGTACAAGCAAGGCCAGGTATGGGCAGTCGGGACGCCCGTGTCCCACATCAGAGGGCCTGGGTTGGATTCCCACCCCTCAGCTCCTGACTCCAGGTTCCTACTGTGAGTGCAAATCCTGGGAGGTAACAGGGATAACTTAAGTGTCTAGCTGCCACCCACGTGGGTGACCTGGATTGAGTTACCACCTCCTGGATTCAGTGTGGCAAGGCTCTAGCCATTGCCAACATCAGGAGTGAAAACAGCAGGTGAGAGCTCTCTCTGTCTCTCCTCCTCTCAAGGAAATAAAGATCGACAGGTCTTTCAAACAGAAGCAAGGCAAAAATATTATCAGGCCATCAAGTGCTGGGTAAGAGCCTGACCTGCTTGAGGGCAAACCAAGGCATGGCCCAGAAATACGACTGTCCTTCACACCGGTGGCTGAAAATAAGAAAAAGGTGTAGTTTGACAGTTCTTGAAACTGCTTGATTTTTCATAATATCATAAGTAAAGTCTAATGATATTGAAAACACCAACTATTAGAACATCACAGGATAGAGTGAATTCAGAGGCTTTGCAGACACATAGGCCTGTGTTCAAATTGCAGTGTTAACACTGTCCAGTCCCAGGACTCATCAGAGTTCTCGACCCCATCTTCTAAGATGTAGAGCACACCCGCGTGCTAAGGTGGCTGTCAAGGTTAAATGTAATGTAAGATGCGTGGCACACTGATGGCACTTGGAACTTGAAATGGTAGCTACCATCAAAGGTTCAAGCAAATAGGCCCAGAGAATGAGAACAATTGAATGTGTTTGTGATTCATTCAGGTACATAATAAAAATAGTATACACACACATACATATATATCCACACACAGAGATTATCTGCACATACACCCATAATCTACACTTTTAAGTAGAGTCATGTAAGAATCTCATTTGAATCTTGCAGAAACTTCAGGAGATAGGCTAGCATTTAGTACCTAACAGTGATGTTTTATATACTTGGGTGTTCCTTAATATTATTTTATGGATAAATGAAAAATCTTTATTGCAGCAAAAAAAATCTGTTCCTGAAAGATGTTATCCTCATTTTAGAAGAATTAAAGTATTTTAATTATAGTTTTTTAAAAAGTTGCTTAAATCCTTAATGAGGAAATTTACTGCCTTATATAATTGGACATTTTTAAATCTTCATAACAAAAATATATGCAGTCTTCATATTTATGTTATAGGTTCCCAAAGATCAAAGAGTACCTAAAACTAATACAAGCCCATAGCAGGTGCTCAGTACATTCTTGTGCTTGAATTGAGGAAAGGGAATTGACTCTCATTTTTTCATTGCAATTGTTTATCACTTTGATGCTTTGAAACCCCCTTCCTGAAATTCATTTACGAGAGCTATTTGATTACTTGGCAACAGCTAAGGCCTATCAAATAATTAAGGAAGTGTTTCAGCCTACCTAGTCAAAGAAGTAATTGACATTTAATTATTTGCAGTAATTGTTTTAAGCCATTTTCTCTACCATTTTTTCAAAAATTTTCACAAAATGTTAGTTATTAGAGAGCCCATGAGCTTCCATCCCCTGGTTCACTCTCCAAACAGCAGGGGCTGGGCCAGGCTGAAGCCAGGAGCCAGGAACTCCATCCAGTGTTCCCTGGAGTGACAGAAAATCCACTACTTTGGGCCATCACTGCTGCCACCCTCGGTCGGCAACGGCAATAGCAGGAAGCTGGCAGCAGCTGGAGCTGGAAATCAAACCCAGAGGCTCTGAAGCGGGGTGCAGGTGTCTCAATTGCTAGGCCAAAAGCGCATCCCATTGTCTACACCTGTTGAGTTAGTCTGTTACTGCGTTTCCTTTCCCCTTACCCGAACTGGTTGGAGGCTGCGCTCAAACCACAGCACAAAGACTTGTGTGCTGTCTCTGAAGTGAAGGGGGTGGGGTCGAAGGACAGTGGCCCTTCAAGGACATGCTTTGCCCTAAGGCACTTCCGGCACCTGATGGAACCAGGTACGGAGGAGACAGCACCTGTTCCATATTGGAACCGAAAATCCGCAGCTCTGTGGCTCTGCGTAGCAGGAACAGGATTCACGGTCCTTTTTTTTTTTTTTTCTCTTCCCCTCCAGGGGAGGGAAATGTTTGGAAATCTTTGTCCTCAATCCACAGCTGCCGGTTGTTCATTGTCCTGTGAGTCAGCCGTCACCCTCAGTAAAAGGGTTGTAACCTATACTCTCTCCAGGCATGAGCCAATGAAGGGTCAACCTGCTTGTTCCTCAACGCAGTTGCGGGAAGCCCTCCTGTTCTGCAGAGCCATTTGTGGTTCTACCAGTAGAGAAAGCGCTGGGCGCTGCTAGTGAATGGAATTGAATACCGCCTCTGAGGCGGGTTACGGTGATGTTCCCTGCCGTCTGCATTTTGCAGCTAGTCTGCGAGGCAGCCTAACAGTCCCGTACACCTTTGCTTTTTTTTTTTTTTTTCCACCCATCAAGAAAAGAGAAAAAGAAGTAAGCCATATAAAGGGAAAGGGGTATTGTATGTGTTCACGTGATGTTCCCAGAGCCCGAACTCAGCAACCATATGGTCACTTTTAGTTTTTTTAAAGATTTATTTTATTTATTTGAAAGAGTTACAGAGAGAGAGAGAGTCTTCCATCCACTGGTTCACCCCCCAGATGGCCTGCAACGGCCGGAGCTGCACCGATCCGAATCCAGGAGCCAGGAGCTTCCTCTGGGTCTCACGTGGGTGCAGGGGCCCAAGGACTTGAGCCATCTTCTACTGCTTTCCTATGCCATAGCAGAGAGCTGGATCGGAAGTGGAGCAGCCGAGTCTCGAACCGGCGCCCATATGGGATGCTGGTGCTGCAGATGGAGCTTTAACCCGCCGCGCCATAGCGCCTGCCCCCCATATGATCATTTTTAAAGTTGATGCATAATTTTTGATTTTAGCATTTGCTGCTGCCCAGTGGGTGAATGTTAAGTTAGATCCAAAGTGGCTGCATTCAGCTGTCTTTATTGGGAGTGCCTGTTCGTTGCTTTGACTTGCAGACAGACAAAGCGCGCTCTGGCATTGTTGACTGGCCAGCACGTCCCGTTATCCGTTCAGTTAATACTAGCGAGGAAGCCCAAAGAAGCAAGGCTCGTGCCAGTTGCATCCCTCTGCCGCCTCTCTAGGTGGATGAGGCAAAAATATCAGAAGGTGGTTTCAAAGGTTCTTCACGGAAAGGAAAAGCTGAAAGGACCAGGTGTCCCTGTTCCCAGAGTCAAGTATAAATGCATGCCTCGTCTATTTTCTAGGAAGACTTACTGCAGAGCCGAAAGCCCGGCTACTTCCCAATTTGCAATTGTGTGTAAAAATAGTTTCTATTTCGGATGATCTGATTCTCCCCAGGATTCTTAAGGACAAGGAACCTCTGCGTGGACACTGATGTTTCATGACTTCCTTTGGTACCTATGATGGCGAAACCCATGAAGGCGCCTTGTCTTTCGCTCTGATCTTGCTCCAGCAGCCAGGTACTGCAAAGAAAAATCATACGATCACTCTTGCAAATCAGAGGTTTCAATATAGTGGACCACAAAGGTATATTGCTAGTCTGGTTCATGGGTTATAAACAAGCCATGAAACCACTGTTCCC